AGAATGGCTATAAGAGTCTCTAAGACTATTCTAGAAATCCTTTTGCATTTGTAGAAATTTTTATAGTCCACTTCAATCCAAAAGCAATTTTTATAGTCACCCAATGATCCAGTTTCAAACGAATGGTTCTGACTTTAAAATCTTTTGATTGCTTTCTAAGAAGCAAGCTTAGAAACTAAAGCAAATAAGTATTTCTTAAACTTTTGGGTGATTCTCTATTGACATAACACAAATTTAGTGCTGCCCTAATTGTCAATATGTGGATCTTACATTATATATGGGACAACCAAGAATTTATGTTCAGTGATCTGAAAATAGTAAGTAATCGGAGATATAAAATTGCTCTGGTGAAAAGTATATCCCTAAAATATATAAAAATAAAAAGAAAATACAAACTTAAAAAATATGATACATAATGATCGATATTCTAATTTGCTTGAAAACTATTATTCGCTTCATTATCAGCCACATTTTTACTTTGACACAACAACGAAAACATAAAAACTTCAAAGGAAACATACTAGTAAAGTTCAATACATAAGTTAGAGCTAAACTTCCAATTTACAGCTCATAAGACTATAATCAAGAAAACATAATTAAGAATAACTTGTACTACATCTTGAGAACTGTTTATGCATTCTGAATTCAGTTTTCATATTTTGACTCAACTAAAAAAAATTATTACAAAAAATGCGATGAAAAAATCTTTATGCAAAATTCAAATAACAAAAGTACGAGCATGTCTCTTTTATTATACTCTACTTCACACTAAATAGTTTATAAACATAGAAAATTCTATCACACAACAAAATCAGTCGTATTATATAGTAGAAACTATCCAGACATAGTTCGGAATACGGCTTAGTAGTATTGAAAGCTAGTCCCCTTTTGAGGAAGGGAAAGTCTTTTCAATAGAAGTCCTATTTCCCGAGGTATTTCTTACTCGACTGAAAGGAAAGGAACGCATCATCACTTCAATTGTTGCGTTAACCAATTTCTTTCTTAGTCACCGGAAAGAGCGTACTTTTGGTACTTTGCTTGTAGCTTTTTATTAGTAATATATTCTTTTTTCTGTGAGATTCGAAAATATGATTTATGTTTAAGTTCTATAACTTAATTTTCTTTAAATAAAAGGTTAAATGAAATAGGTTTGTACTTGGTATTTTTTTAATACCAGGAGGTTTGGGATCGACACCGAAACGGAAACCGTAATCTCCACAGACCTGAAACCAAGTATATAATATTAGTTTTGTCCAAGTGTTCACTTGAACTAAAGTATCTCTGACACAGTGTACTTGGTACTCTTTGCTGCACAATATCGCATAGATCCTTGGACAGCAGTAATGACGTCATTTTGAAGATCCGAAAACATATCTATAACTCTTTTTTTTTTTTGAACAACATACCTATAACTCTATGCGATGTGGACACCATTATATTTCTCTTCTCTTTTTAAAAATATACTAGAGTTTGACCCGTGCATCCGCGTGGATATTGATTTTTACGTTTTTATAAATTGATATTCGCTTTTTCATGATTAGTGTTGTATGTTTTAGATATATCGTCAATAACCAATTGCATACAAAAGAACTGAACTGAATCAGGTAATAAGATTATTTTTATCACAAATATCTGAACTCATTTCAGATATATTGGTTATTTAGATATTCTTATGTTCATATACATTAGAATTAAAATCATTTAGACCTCGAGGACCCATTTCAAACCTTACACATAAATTTATAATATCCAACCATGTCTAATTTCAAAACCCAAAAGTTGATCTCAAAAGAAACAACTTGTATCTGAATGAATACCCAAATGTCCATATCTAATTGATTCGGTAAATAAATTTTTAAAAAAATCTTTCTTTATGTTTAGCTAAATTAAAGGAAATAGAAATATTTTTTATTTATTAAAATAGTTATATGGAATGAAACATTAAGGAACAATAAATGTAAGAAACATTACTTATTTTAATTTAAATTATTATTTTGTTTACATAAACTATCCTTTGAATTATGTGTTTGGCTACATAATTTTTCACTAATTGGAACCAAGCTTTTTAAAACCGGACCGACCAGTTGGTTGGACCAGGTTTGACCATGAACAGATCACGTAACCAGTTGAATCTAACAACTGGTTCGACCATGAACCGGTCAAGTAATCAGGTATATTTATCTCAACATTATTGGATTTAATAAACACTATCAAAGACTATCAAAATTCTATAAACCAACCATATGAACAAAAAATAATATATATTTTAATTATTTATCATATTTACTAACTTTACTTTTAATTTCTATATCTAAAATATATTAAACCAGATTATTGAACCAACATTATCCGATCGAACCATGACCCAAAATTCTGGTTCAGCTTCCAGTCCGGTTTTAAAAATATTAATTAGAACTTAGATAAAAAAAAAGTATTAGTAAAATAGATTAAAACAAACTCTTAACCATACGCAAAATTCTGTTATTTTACATTTTTTATTTTTATAATTTGCACAAAGTTAATATTGATTAACTAATAAATAAAAATCCGCAATACTACTTTAATGGTATATAATTAATGATTTGATGTATTGTTAAAGGTAAATATAATTAATGATGTGAAATATAATTAATGATGAGATGTATTGTTAAGTTAATGAAATTATTAAAAGAATATTATATTTTTTTATATTGTTATCCATGTTTCCAAACATTTTTCATTTAAACTAGTATCCATGTTTCCAAACGACTCTCAAATGTACTTCAACTTTAATAATATAGATTAATTGTTAACTAGACCATGACCCGCCCGACCGGGCGGGTGTTTTGTTTTCTTTTAATTTTTAGGTTTATACTAAATGATGTAAAATAAAAAATGAAGTATCAGTTAAATGGTTACAAATTACTTATGGGTTTAATTTTGAAAAAAAGAATACCGAAAAGTTTGTTGTTTGATCCGCGCAAGTGTTTTTTTTATATATTTTATAAGTGATAATATATATTTCTAAATTTACCCGTTTAAATAACTGTTTAAAATGACATTTTAAACACACAATTTTATAGTTTATATCGAGTAATTTTATTTTATCTTATAAACTATCATTGTGTCATATTTATTTTAAAAATATGACCCGTATATCTTTATTTTATTTTTATGGATCAAAATTTTATGATAATGTATAACTAAATTGTTTGATTTACTATTTAAAATATATGGTCCTATATATTTCTACTTTTTAACTTTTATTATTCTGAATTTACCTTGAACTATTATTTATATAAAAATATACATAACATGATATGTTTATATTAATCTTTTCATTATATATTATATAAATGTTTCTTTTTCTGACTTTTATTTTAGTTATTACTTATAAATAATAAAAATATAATTATATAAATCTTTGAAAAAAATATTGTTCATTAACTATTTAAAGATATGTAGATAATTAGTAAGAAAAAAATCCTAAAAGGTAGGTTAATTAATATTGCAATTAATTATTATGTATATGAAATTAGTAAAACAATTTCTATATAATTTATTTATTTAATTAGGAAAGGTATATATGAAAATAATTATTTTCATGAATTATTGTTGCCATAATTTTTTTTAGTTAAAATTTGATTTTGGAAATGCATTAATTAAAGTGAAAAGATAAAGAATCCTATAAGGTAGGTAATTAATAATTTTAGTGGTATAACATTGTAAATAATTAGAAAAACTCAGGAATATTTTATATGAATACTTCTCTTTTAATAATATTTATGCTGGTGATTGCGTTGTACAATAGGTTTTATTGATAATTCAAATATTGATACCAATTTAAAAAAGCTAAGGATATTTAAGATCGACTGTTGCAAGATACATGGCTTTTCTTATTGGGCAAGATATCTCTCTTGATGCAAAAGAAAGACAATTACACTATGAATAGGTAAAACTGGAAACGTAAGAAAAAGGTGATGTTGATTGGTTTTGTGCATATTTCTGGGAAACTTTGCAAATGCTCACGATTCATCTATTACAATATCCAATAGCCAGAATCGGGCTAATGTTTTATACTGCTCCAAGCCAAATTTAAAAATATGCTCTTGTACATATTTTATCAAGATCATAAAAAATTTAACCTTTCATAAAAATCAAATTATATAAATTGTTTAGAAAAAAATAGTCATTTAAGATAATTATTGTTGAAATATAGTTCTTCTTGCATTTTTTTCCTGCATAATCATCTATTAATCTCATATAATCAAATCTTTTCACCATTGCAGTCTCTGTTGATAACATAATCAAACCATTTTATATCTATTGTGACATGGTAGACAGCAAATAATTTTTTATTAGTTCAATTTCAAAAGACTTCTTTCAGCTGTGACATGGTATAAAATTTTTTATAATTTTATATCTATTGTGACATGGTAGACAGCAAACTTGTAAATATTTCAACTATTCCACGGTTTTTATGTTATTTCAGCCATTTTCGATTTTTAAAATAAATGTTTATCTTTATGTTTATATGGGTGTCTATGAGAGATTGCCCGACATCTCCTCTAGAGCCCCTAAATGTCAAAAGGCAATCTCTCATAGACATCCATATAAACATAAACATAAAGATAAACATTTATTTTAAAAATCGGAAATGGCTGAAATGACATAAAAACCGTGGAATAGTTGAAGTATTTACAAGTTTTACCAGGGTATAACCCACCCGACCCGACCCGACCCGGATATATGGTCAATCCAATTAAACCAAATCGTCTAACCGTTTAACCAATCCGACGAAACCAAACCAATCCCTCGAAACCAAATCCAGCCCTCGAAACCGAACCAATCCATCGAAAACCAAACCAAATATGTCGGTTTTTAATAACTCACTCAATTTAGTTACTCGGTTTTCTCATTTCGTTTCTATTCTCAAATAAACCCTAATTTCGTTCCTCCCCTAAAATCAACCGTGAGAACGAGAGGAGGAGAGAAGAATTCGGAGGATTCAATCGAGTGCGATGGTGGTCGAAACGAGAGAAGGAGGTAAGAGGAAGGATAATCCAACGAAGGAAGAGTCTCGGAAAGTGAAGTTTGCAAAGACGACGGCGGAGGGCTCCGATAATATCGAGAAGACAACGACGGAGGGCTCCGATAATATCGAGAAGACGACGATGGAGAATGTTGACTCAACGACAAAGATAACAGAGACTGTTGAATCAACGGTACAGACGAGGGAGACGAGTAAGGATTCGACGGAAAATGATAATGAGAATGAAGTTTCTGAAGAAGGAAATGGAGGTGGAGAAGAAAATGATGATGAGAATGAAGTTTCTGAAGAAGGAAATGGAGGTGGAGAAGAAAATGATGATGAGAATGAAGGTTCTATTGAAGGAAATGGAGGCGGAGAAGAAAAGGATGATGAGAATGAAGGTTCTGAAGAAGGAAATGGAGACAGAGAAGGAAAGGATGATGAGAATGAAGATTCTAAAGATGAAGGTTCTGAAGAAGAAAAGGATGATGCTAATGAAGGTTTCGAAGAAAATGAAGAAGGAGAAGAGTTAGCAAATGGAGATAGAGCAGCAAACGAGAATGGGAATCCACCCGAACCCGAGGTAAGAAATTATCACTTAGGTATACTAGGGGAAGTTGGATATAACTTGGATATAACTTGGATAACTTGTAGCAAAATTGGTTATAACTTGAAGCGAAATTGGATATAAGTTTAGTATAAATTGGATATAACTTCGGTATAACTAATTTAAAATTTTGGTATAACTAATTTAAAACTTTGGTATAACTTGCAGGGTTTGAATGGAAATGTGGGACTCGATATAATCAAACCAACGAGGATGTTCTTCAAGCCCAGTGAATACAACAAAAAATAAAGCTTGGCACAAGGTGTATGATAGCTAGCACGATTAAGACGCTAAAAATCTGAAACCCAAACTGTCTAACGCGGA